CCCACACACACACACACGGGCCAGAAAGGGTGCAGCCAGCAGCACCCACCGCCACAATAACTTTGCACAGCTTACTGAACCGAATAACGGGACTTACTGTGAATTTACAATGTGCTCATAACTGAACCTGTGGCTCGAACCTTGGATTATACGATCCGCATGCCAGCACGATAACCACTAGACCATGCCCAACCTGACATGTCTCGAAAAAGAATTACCTTACATAGGTTAGGTATATGCTTAACTACATTATTAACCTGACAGGTGTCATACACACACTCGTTTAAAATAATCTTATTCGTGTTCTTATTCGTCCAATCTTCAAAAGAACAAAATTTTATTATTGTGTTATCTTCTTTTTAGGCTTCAGTTACGTTGTTCGACTCGCAATCTGCAGATCCCGGGAGCGATACCCGTCGCCAAACATGATCGCCCTTTCAGTCATGAGGACGTTAAAATGTGACGGTCGTTAATAAAGTAGTAACTCAACGGGTTCAAGATTAGGGAAGGATAGCACAGATAGTCCTCGAGCAACTTCACACAAAACAGACAAACTTCTGCTTCTTGTTTTCATCAAATATGACAAACAGTATTCTAGAAAAAAAAACTCCTGCATTTAAACCCAACAGTTTTAATTACAAATTATGTCCTAAGACTTTCATATTCAGACCGAAAATGTATAAAAGTCCTTTTATACCAGTCTTTCTGGGATTAAACATTTTCTTCAGAGTATATAATTAATAACAGTCAAAATCCCCCAGATGACTCAGCAACAACCCTAAAATACAGGGTTTGATCATTATAGTGGGCACAGTTCAGATACCCAACTGCGAAATTTTGCACTTAACAACAAATAAATGCATAAACAGCCCTTAATGTTTAGTGTTGCTTTTGAACCGGTCTCTCGGGTGTTTTATAATAGAATAACAGAGACCTGGAAGACATTTGTGCTCAGATTAGTGTCTTTATTGCAACATTACTTCTTTAAACATAGGATTTCTTGAATAATACAAAATAATTCTAATAGCAGACACCAAAATATTGTCATACTATAATTCTGCTGTCGGTACCCCAAAAATACAGTGCAAGCGCCTGCCTGCGCCAGAGAGCTAGAAAGCTCAATGTGTAAGTCACTACAACTGCTTTATGAATGAAGGAATAACAAAAAAGGAGTTAGTATATTATAATAATACTCATTTTTTTCTCTTTCATGACAATGAGCACGCACCTACCTAAATACACGTCACTTCCGTAACAGACGCATGAACAAGCGTATTATAATATAGATTGTTTGTAATAATGTTTTGTGTTTTCATTAATGACATAAATGGTATTATTGTAAGCTATCATGACGAGATATGCAACAATGTTTGTTTGTTTGATTTCGTATCTTCGTGGAAAGTCCATTATCTGTACTAGCCGTCCCTAATTTTGAAATAATAAACTAAAGGGAAGGCAATTAGTGAACAGCACCCACCGCCAACTTTTGAACTACTATTGTAGGCCAAATAAATCAATTAACCCTCGTCTCTATATCGGCCCCAAAGTGAGGAGCACAATATTTCTTTCGAAAACGGGACGCTAACTTAGGACCCTCGGTTACACGGTTCGGCACGTTAACCGCTATAACCCCCCACTACAGTGGTAAGGGAGTGTTGTTTTCATCTAAAAATAAATTGATTCATTGGCTGCGTCTATGTTGAATTTTGTGAAAGAAGTGATGTCAGAGATTTAAGTTATGTACAAAGTGGCAGAAGTGATCAAATTTATTAATTAATTTGGGAAATCTTCCACTTTTACAACAAGCACTTACTTGTTTTAAATGTATAGTCTGTTACTCACCATCAATAACTTAAAATATAAATTGCTCACATTCCATCATTATACAAGGCCTACGTTATTTTATTTGCTTCGCTCTTCCAAGAAATACTGATGAGCCATGACTTCGGCGAAACTAGTCTGTTGCAGAAGAAGTTGCCAATCAAAGGACAAATTAGGTCTCTGCATCATCTGTTCTTCACTGAAATTCACATTTTCTTGAAGAAAATAAATTAACACTTAAATAAGCATAATAATTTATTAATTTTATTGTTGTTAATAGAAGTCCAAGCATAAATTGTTATTTCTTTTGAATGGTTGTAGAATACGTCTTGTATTACCGTGAAGAACATAAGATCTGGGTCGAGATTACAGTGATATCCAAACCTCTAGAAGATCACATCTACACACTCAGTGGACTGGAATGTGGCACCAGGTATCAGCTATATATGGTATCCACTAACAGTGTCGGTAGGAGCGAGCCTAGTGAGATTTTAACGGCACGGACAGATGGCGCTGGTGAGTAAAAATCGCTTTGGAAAAGGTTAATTATTTTAATACATAATAATGTAGTATTATTTCTAATCGTTATATACCGATCAGATAAGAATTTTTTCCATAATTTCATCTTAAAAAGTAAAGGCCTTCGCAATAAACTTATAAACTGTCCAGTATTACAACTTTTCAAATACAGATAGGTTGTAATGCTGGAATAACAACAATTACAACTGTATTACATACGCTATTTTGAATACTAATTAAACCTTATTGGCATGTGAAAGGAAATATACAAGGGACAAAGGTTATAGAGCCCATCTTTAACAATGGTGTTTGTTAAGTTTTCGCGCAAAGCTACTCCACTATTCATCCCTAATTTGGAAGTTATAGACTAGAGGGAAGAAAGCTATTTAACACCATCCACCGCCTACTCTTGGGCTAATCTTTACCAATGACTAGTGGGATTGATCGTAACATTATAACACCTCCACGGCGAAATATCCGAGTTTATTCGGCACCAGATTTCGAGTCTAGCGCCCTAATCATCAGGGTGTGCCAAACATAATAGAATGTTTTTAAGAAAACTGGGTATGCCAGACCTTACAGAAAATTATCAAGGGAACCACGAAATATTTGTTCCAACCCTATCAAAATAGTCACTTTTAGATAAAATTTTCTCAGAAACCGTTCAGGATTTTGAATTAAGCTTTTCATTACTTAGTTTTAGTTGTGTCTGTACGATTATTTAATTACTTATTCACATATAAATTAACATTTTAGTTGTTTCCAAAAAAACAACAAAAAAAAACACGTTGTAATTAGGAGAATTGTTATGAATAATTAGCAACCAACTTAATTAAACCATCATACAAATGGTTGACAAACGCGTGATCTAAATTGGAAGTTTCCGTCGACTTTTGAGAAAAAACATTCTTAATGCTGACTGTTTGAACAAGGACGATATAGGCATATCAATTAGTAACGGCTACAGCTGTGTCGAGTAATACTTATTTCTACCGGTAGGGGTTAAGCACGATTAGAAGACACTCGGGTATACTTAACTTAATAATTAAATATTTATTATTTTACATTATAAACTGTAAACTTGAAGACCGAAAGTCGTAAAGTACAGACGCACAGCTTTATGATGTATATTAGTTAACTAGTTCAGTTTGCTCGACTTTGAATACAAGTGTCTAATGTTTGCGGTTGGTTGCCGCTAGAGCGCGCTCCACATGCTGTGGCGTTGACTGCGTTATAAGAGTGACAGTCAAATCCCATATTCGATTATTGTAGTTCAAGAGTTGACGACAGGAGCTAGCTACCTTCCCCCCCTAGTGTATAAGTTCAGATTAGGGATAGCTACGACACATATCCCTTGTTTAGCTGTGCACGAATTTCCGAAACAAACTTTTACCCCCTCCACAGTTTTCTCACATACACATATAAATGTTTTATGAGCAACGTGACCACGTATCACAAAATGTTCAGAAACATCAATTACATTAACTTAATAGATAATTTAATAATTACCAGTGAAACAATAGTAAAAGTAAATATCCAATCATCAAATGGTTTTTTATCAATAAAACGGACTTGAAAAACAAAGTTATAGGTTGACATCAAGGTGTTATTTTTATGTAAGTTTTACCCTCCCATGATGTTTCAAAATAATAAAATGCGCCATTTATCGCATATATTTTTCATTACGCACTTATTTGTTTTGTTTTTTAAAAATGAAATTTATTAGTGTGGAAAAGGTCGTCGTAATTTCCACCGAAGGTAATTAATTTGTTTCTCGCTTAATTTACCATCTCTAAGAAAGGGAATAAGCTTAACGTTTAGACAAGAACTGATGACGCTTCCCTTACGTCCCATTTCCCATTAAAGTTTAATCAACAACTAATGGTAATTATTCCCTTAGGGAATACCACTAAAATAATAGGAACTGTTATAGATGAAACTACGACCTTTAGTTTTCAGTTCTTATTGTGATTAGAAGCAAACACGTATAACGATAATATCTGCGGACTTACAACGCTGGAAACCGGGTTTCGATACCCGTGGTGGGCAGGGCACAGATAGCCCATCGTGTAGCTTTGTGCGTAAATTAAAAAAAACAAACAATATAATGATAATACTACGTAAATCAACTGAATGCCACTTTATAAAATTAAAACTCTGATGTAAATACGGCAGTCTTAGACTACACAGAAATATTATTATCCTATTCCAAAGTTAAATATATATTTTGTTATAATTTAGCCCCCTTGTCTCCATCAAAAGAAGATTTTATACAGCGTGACGTCACTTTTGTTAAGCTTAATTTGTTGTCTTGGCAAAGTGGTGGCTGTCCAATCAAAGAATATTCCGTAAAGCTCCGGAGAAAACCGATGTCTCATTGGACAGTACTCAAAGATCACGTGCCTTCTAGCCAATCACAATACGTGTTACAACGTCTCACGCCAGGAAGTTGGTACGATCTTCAAGTGACCGCTTACAGCAGTGCAGGAGCTACAGAAGCTATGTATGAATTTCAAACTTTCAACGTTACATTTGAAGGTAGAATGTCCACTAAATGATTTATTATTAATTTTTACCTGTATATAATTGTTGTCCCCTTCTTCATTTTTACCTGTATACAATTGTTGTCCCCTTCTTCATTTTTACCTATATATAATTGTTGTCCCCTTCTTCATTTTTACCTATATATAATATTTGTCCCCTTTTTCATTTTTACCTATATATAATATTTGTCCCTTCTTCATTTTTATCTATATATAATGAACAGAAAATGGCAAACGGATACAAAGTAATTATGTATAGGTAAAAAAATGAAGAAGGGGACAAAAATTATATATAGATAAAAATGAAGACGGGTACAACTTACTCTTCTTTGATAGTTTTTCAACCTTTATATTAATATTTTTTAATTATTTTTGATATAATGCTTTAAATATGGACGTTGGTACATTTCAACAGGGGTACCCTTCTGACTAAAATTAATATTTTTTGTGTTTTTCGTAATCATTAAGAGAAAACATATATTTAAAAAAATAGTTCCTTCATTTTCTTCCTAGATTGAAGTTATCAAATAACAACGTTCAAGTCTTTTACATTATTATACAGATATCATTGTTCCGGTCTTTTCAGAAGTGAAATACAAAAAGATAGAAAATAAAGGTTAAACTGTGTTTTATATAATAGAGGAAACTGTTCCCGACTTCTACACGGTCGTACCCACGCCTGCGCAGGTGGAATCTCATTTTCCCTTTCTCTTGGACATCACAATCATCGTGCCTATCGTTACATCTGCTGTCATTGTCATCATCATCATCATTGTTGGCTGTGTCTTATGTCGGCGTCGTAATTCTCATTACAGTCCCAGTAGTGGTATGTTTCAAGTGTTTATTCTTGTCGCTACGGTAATAGGTATTCGTGTTCATTGTTGTCGCCATAGTAATAACAATTTGTTATATAAATTATTAGGGTATAAACGCCTTGTGTTACCTTTTATTTGTAAATGTTTCTCAGACAAGGATGTAAATTGTTCTTGTTGAAGTACCTACATTATTCTTAAAGCTTGTGATTTTTTTATCAAAATTGTTCTAAAAGCATAGCTAAAACGCTCCGAGTGTTTAGATTTGTAGATCTTTACAAAAACTACCAGAAACACTCTGAAAACACATAATTTGTCTTTACTTTCTTTCACCCCAGATGGTTCTGGAAGTTCCCATTCTAAGATTAGACGAGGAATTGAAACGATGGCAATGAAAGATATGGATGGTTCTAACGAGCATGGTTGCATGACTGGAGGAGTATCAAGTGATGAGGGCACTCAAAGATCATCATCTTCAAACAGCCATTCACGTCCTGTTTCATCTGCACTGGTTGCTGGTGGTGGTAAGTCACTGTATAAAGTATCTCGTACTATGATTAAGCTTAGCACAAAACTCACGAATATTACTAGTACTAGAGGTAGCCAATGTTTAGGCTTAACATAAAACCCATAAATATTATTCGTACTAGTAGTAGCCAGTGTTTAGGCTTAACATAAAACCCATACATATTACTGGTACTAGAAGTAGCCAACGTTTAGGCTTAACATAAACCCCATAAATATTATTCGTACTAGTAGTAGCCAGTGTTTAGGCTTAACATAAAACCCATAGATATTACTGGTACTAGAAGTAGCCAACGTTTAGGCTTAACATAAAAGCCATAAGTATTACTGGTAGCCAAGTTTGTAAGTCCGCTGTTTTTACCCATTTATAGGTTTCTATCACCTATGCCTTTTAATTTACCTTACACCATCATAATCTGTTTAAACAAATGTGTATTTTTTTAAAGAAGAACACAGAAGTGGATAATATTATAGTGAAACCAACATGCCATATCGAGACGACCGTTTCCGGAAACGATAAACCGAATGTTGTATTACGAGTTGACTTGGCTGGCCACTAGTTTGTTATTTGGCTCTAAAACAGGCAACAACACGTTAACAAAACCTTAAGTTAAGCCTACTTCATGTGATTTTTTAACACAAGTCATCCTTCCGTCCGTCTTGTCAATAAGATTATTGCTACCAGTGGCTAGTTGTTGTTTATGACGTATTCTATAACCAACAGGGCTGCCCCACGACCAGGAACTGCACCCCTATGCCTTGCCCTATGATACCATAGCTGTTCCAGATTACCACGTTAGTCAGCCCAGCACCTCTAACCCTCGCACTTTAAACCGACGGTGTGGAGACACGAGGGGAGACAACGTATATGTAAGCAGGCAGGTAAACTTAATCTTAAGCAATATTAGTATTAACTAAAGCAATGCAATAGAATCCTATTCTAAAAAAACCCCAAATTGATAATAGAATTGGGGGAGGGGGAGTTGCATGCATTTTTAGTCCTAGTATTTACAGAAATATCGTCTCTATTAAAGAACTTGATGAATTTGGTAAATTCTTACTGACCAAGAAAACAATTACAAATGCTGAAGTCTCCTGATGGGTTATGATGATAAAACTTGTGGTTCGATCCCTGCAGTGAACACAGCATAGATAGCCCATTGCATAACTGGTGATAAAACAAAATTAAAATGTTATACACTTTTAAAAGCATTGATAAACCAATAAATTACACTTTTGTTATTATTCTAAGGCTACTAAGACTATTTGTCACCAGAGGAAAGACAGCCAGTAATCAACGAAGGAGTTGACTATCGCTCTTATAACGCACCCACAGTTTAAAGTGCGTGGAATATTTTGCGGTATTGCACAGAATGTAATCCGGTTCGCTAGCTCCAAAATTCAGAGATCTCTCACAGGGCAAACCAACGTCCGAATAAATTACGAAGAGGACTATTTCGTCAATCTATGAGTATAATACTCAATATTTGTCTGTCCTAAAAATATACTCCAGTAGACATTTTGTACAAGAACTTATTAAAGTTTCTAAAAAGATCTAACGTTAGGTCGTAGAATAACATTATAAGTTTATTTATTGATAGTATCAAGTACAGTAAAGTTTAGCCCTAACTAAACTAAAGCAAAAAACTTTCACAAGTTACAGCATTAATTTATCTCTTTATTGAATATAGGCCGTATTTAATAAAGGCTTAACTAAGCCTATGATAAGTGAACTTACAGATTTCGGTGTCTGCGATTAGAATTATTTTGTATTATTCTAGAAATCCTGTATTTAAAGAAATACTGTTGCAATAAAGATACTAATTTAACTACAAATGTTTTGCGGGTATCTGCTAGTCTCAAAATATTAGCTGCTTATCTTTTGTTTTACTACATGAATTATATCACACAAGCATTATATTTTTGTCTTTAAACACAATTTTAGATTGTGCTTCATGTAAAAAAGTATAAGGTTAGATGCATATACACTCTTGGATAGAGGGCGCTAAGTTAATATTTAGTATCTGTTTGTGAAGAAAAATATATATATTTTATATGTTACCACATTTTTCTTCTGGCGTTAGGCTTTATGCAGATTTCTATATCCATGACGGAAGACATTGAAATATTTAGGTTGCCTGAAATTGGCATCTTATTTAAAAGAAAAACCTTGTAACAACAACAACAACAAAAACAACATTGCAAGCATAGGCGGTGAATGAGTCTTTTGTTTGGATCTTTCCAGTGCCTCACACACACACACACACCCTCCTTCGATCTCTCTCTCCACATGATCTTGACTTGGTGGGAATAATGACCCGTGAGGGATGGTTTATTTGAGGAGGCTCAGCCTCTTATACACGCCGAGCCAGATTAAAGGTCTTAAATCCTCGTATTCTTTATTGTTCTAATTTTATCTTTTTTTTTTATTATTCCGATATTTTTTTCCTTTTAGTTAAAACCATTTAGAGTTATGTTAATTGCATATTGTGTGTGTGTATATATATATATATGTTGGTGTTGTTTTTTGGATAGCGGTATGTCTGCGGACTTACAACGCTAGAATTCAGGTTTCGATACTCATGGTGGGCAGGGCACAGGTAACCCATTGTGTAGCTTTGTGTTTAACTTCAAATAAACCAAATCAAAATATAAATTGTTATAACAATTTTTGTATACAGACGGTAGGTGGCGTAATCATTGTACTGTTTTATATATTTTCGCACCAAGCTACACAAGGGCTATCTGCCCATAGCCACCCATAATTTTAAGCTGATATACCAATACTGAATCAACAATATACGTTTGTTATTAAGCAATAAACGCGGATATCGAAACCTGATTTTTAGTGTTATAAGCCCTCGGGCGTCACGCACCGATACAAAAGCTGGAATATTACACGCAAAACTCTAGAAATTTCAATAAATTCGAAGAAAAGTTATTTTTACCAAGATTTTACACTAGGATTGATATAGTCGTTAGAATGCCTTTACAGTGAATCTGAAGATTCGTAGTTAGTGTGTCGTTGTCGCAAAATCGCGCCTCTGCAATTTGGAGCATTAGGTGCATTATTAGAGTGACAGTCAAATCCCACTATCTGGTCAACCTAAGAAGAGAATTTGTCAACCAACTTCTTTCTTTGTTTCAATAGTCAGGCCTATTGCTTTCTGCTTAATAACAAACGTATATTGTTGATTCAGTATGTTTCAATAGTCAGGCCTATTGCTTTCTGCTTAATAACAAACGTATATTGTTGATTCAGTATGTTTTAATAGTCAGTGAAGTATAATAACTTGTTATGTTGATTCAGTATGTTTTAATAGTCAGTGAAGTATAACTTGTTCTGTTGATTCAGTATGTTTCAATAGTCAGTGAAGTATAACTTGTTCTGTTGATTCAGTATGTTTCAATAGTCAGTGAAGTATAACTTGTTCTGTTGATTCAGTACATTTCAATAGTCAGTGAAGTATAATTTGTTCTGTTGATTCAGTATGTTTCAATAGTCAGTGAAGTGTAATTTGTTCTGTCGATTCAGTATGTTTCAATAGTCAGTGAAGTG